CTTTGTGTATCCGGGAAGTTTTACTTGTATCCATTGATTGACGTCATTTGTGCGTGCTGACCAGCTTCCTGCTTTACCTGGGACCGCAAGGAAGTTCAACCTGCCTTGCGTAGCAGCATGATTTCCATTAAATTCTGAGGATGCAGTTATCTGTGCATCCAAGATGGCGCCGCTCTCCATACCAAGTGGTTTTGTGCACGCTGTAATATTGAAAATAAAAAGAGACGAGAGCTTTGTGATAAGATCACTGATTAATGCTTAAAATTAAAGAAAATAACTTAAGAATTTCACTCGGCTTAGTTAAAACTCCTCATAAATGGAAAATATAAATAGAGTAGAGCCTCTATGCGCGATCAAAATTTTACCTGGACATCCGTAGATCTCCATCCTCATTGATATATGATTGAACCAAGCAGTAGGACGAAGCCTGATGTACAGTGCTTGGATGGGAGGAAGCAATTCATGGGTCACAATAGTGTTACTATCCGTGTTTCCATGAAATATCTATGAATAATGAAAAAATCGAGCAAGTAAATCGATTAACACCTAAGACGCAAATATCAGCTCTCTGCACTGGTCGCAAAAGGTTATTGCCAAGACTATCTCCGATCACATTTTCTTTTGTTCTCCTCTCTTGAGTTTAGTCCCCCACCTGGGGTTGTTGCATGGGATTAATGAAAGACAACTCTCTTAATTAAGAAAGAAGTCGCATGCTTAAATACCCTTGCAAGAATATGATTACTGAAGATGGAAACGAATCACAGATAAGTTCCAACACAGGTAAGATTATTATTACACAAGTTATATGCTCAGTTAATAATCTCTTAATGTCAAAATCACTGCCCACTTTTAAGGGGTATATCCGTTTCAATACGTTAGTTTGTAAGTTTTATTTTTTTGAAAGGACAAATAAATTCAGTAAAATCTCGCTTTGTTCACATTTAAGTAGTCATCACTATGACTTACGTGTTAGGAAAACACTTTAAAGAAGCTTCTCATTGCCTCCGGGTGGCTTCTAGAGTGTATATTATCAGTTTTAGTGCGTCACTGTAACGGTTGTTTGTATTTTTATAACCTTGTAAACATGTAATAGTACCTTAGCTGCACT